TGTCGTAACAGAGTGTGCGAATCCGACTACAACATCGAAGTTCGAGAGTCGATGTTAATTTAATCATTTTTATATTTCTCTTGATTTTACAAGATCAACGGAAAATTAAGAAAGTGTGTTGATTTTCCATTAGAATTTAGACTTTAGTACAAGTATACGATAAGCACTAAATGTTTATAAATTTGGTATTGGGTGAAATCTGAAATTTGGTATTAGAGCCACTGTTAGTGTGTACAGTTGAGATTTGAAGATGGTTTTGAAAACCGTAAAAAACTACGAAAAGTACTAAATATTGTGTTTTTGAGAAAAATCAATCAAATCAAATGTTTGACTTCAGTTTCAAGTTTTGAACAAAGTATAGGTCTTTCAAACTGAAATATAGTATAATTATAGAATAAAGATCTAAAAAGTTATTACAAACTAAGGTGACGGACCAAAAACGCGGATTGATAACGAATTGATTGAATTTCGAAAAATTCTAAAATGTACTAAAAATTGAGCTAGAATTCTGAAATTGTTAATGAAAAGTACTAAATGTTACAAAATCTGGCATTAGGTGAGGGAACAAATATGAGATTCTGAAATTTGAATTGAGGTCACTGTTAGCTTCTAGTGTTTACGTACGGAGACGTTGAAATAGTATTGAACAGATAAATTGGATATGGGTCCATTGTGCAATGGTTTTACTATTATCCTACTCGGTAAACTTCCAAATGAAAAATGTTGAAGACTTTTAAACATTTTCCTATTTTTCTTTCCAAAAGAGGACAAACTTGAATAATATCAAAAACGAAAGTCTGTAAATTAAGTGCGACAGTTGAAGTTTTGATTAAAAAAATGTTGTTAACCTGAACAAATTGTGCCTAAAGCGAACTGTTGGGTAGAATCTCAAATATTATGGTAGACTTTTCGCTGGTGAAGTAGCGGGCACTTGCTAGTGACATTTCGTGGTTTGAAATGAATCAAAAATGTATTTCATTGCCAGAGTAATCGGATAAAGCTAGTGGTCAAAATGTTCCAATTTTGTACAAAAGCAGTGTTAACGATTACTTTTGTACCAGAGTACCAGTTTTATTGAGTTCATGGGAAAATATGGAAAATGTACAAAATAATAAGAAGAAGAAAGGTTGAAAATTAGTAACAAAGAATCTCTATTCCTAATTTTGATGATCGACACTGTGGTATTTATTAGTGCCAACTTTGATTTCCAAAATACTCCGGAGATCCGGAGATTTTGTTGGTCAGTGTGCAACCGAAGGTGCACACTTTCAACTGACCTCTTTGGCATTTTGTTTGTTTACAAACTGCTGGACAACGAATGTTTTCTCATCGGAGAAAACCGAATTCGGCAATTCACCACTTTCGGCCAAGCGAAGCAACTCTTTAGCCTTTTTGAGTCTATTTTCTTTCTGTTGCGGTGTAAGTTCTTGCACTTTTTGGAATTTCAATGGCTTTACCCCGAGACCATTTTTCAATATTTGCGATGGTACGAGACACTGAAGATTTATTCACATTTAAATGCTTGAGTGATCTAACGATAGCCACTTGTGGATTTCCAGCCAAATATAAAGAAATCACAATATCACGCTTGTATTCCATCACGAATTACTTTTGTCTGGAAAATTCTCACCAAAATGCTTTTGTACGCTTGTAAACAATGTAAGGAGCTGTCACTGGAATGATTTTAACAGCTGTCGGACGACTTACAAATGACAGTAGTCTGAAGTTGGTTAAATACGCTGAAATTTTTGTTGAACGATCTGGAAAGTCTAGAAGCTTACATTTTTATACACAAAATGGTAGGGTATCAAAATTGATAACAACGCTAGAAATAGTACAAATGTCTAATATCGAATGTTTAAGAATGTTCCTAATATAAGAGTGTTAAAAGCATCAGTGTTGGATCTTCAGGAAGATTCAGAATTGTTATTGTTCACGTTTTAAAAAATTGAAAGAAATTCTTTTAAATTCGCCCTTTCTTGCTACAAACAACATGTAACAAATATGTAAGAAGTCCTAAATATTTTTCTTTGGGGTTTTATAAAAAGGAATAAAACGTCCGAGGTAAAAGTTTTTACAACTACATCACAGAAGTAAACGCAATCTAAATTGCGAGCACTTGCTAATTTAAATTTCTTTAGAGGCTTAAATATTTTTTAAGCCTCTTATTTGCCATTTTGATTCTTTGCGGAAAGTGAACGCTCTGTGGGAAAACAGTAATTTGAAATTTCCTGGGTCAAAATGGATAGTCTCTTTAAAGGTACCTAATAGTTAAACACATCTTAAAAATTAAGGCCTTAAGTGCCTGCAGTTTGTCAAATATACAGGGTGAGATAAAAAAACTGCAACAAAGTCAAACGCCATAATTTTTAAATTTTATTGAATAAAGCAAAACATGTCGGAAATAGCATCAAATTTTAGAATAAGTTCAGATTTGTTCGAATTGGTCACCTTTGACACGAATTATGGTCTTCAAACGGCCATGAGACCATCGCACGCTGCCCGAATGTTGCTCTGCGGTATTTTGGCCCATTCCCGGCGAAGCGCTTGCTTGAGGTGATCGACATTTTGGTATTTTTAGTGCCATCCTTGCTTTCCAAAAAACTCCAGACACAATAGTCCAACGGATTGGTATCCGGAGATTTTGGTGGCCATTGTGCGCTGGAAATGAAGCGAGGAACCTCATTTTTTAATCATTCTTGGGTGGCGCGTTCTGAGTCCTTTTGGAATGTCCAAGGTCTGCGGCAAATATGTTTGCGTGTCCAAGGCTTTAATACACCCTCCAGAATATGTTCACGATAATGTTAGGCATCTATTCTGATGCCACGGTCGATCATCGGCTGTTATGACGGTCCACACCATCACCATGGCCGGCGCTTGAGTTCTGGTGGCCAACCGAAGGTGCACATTTTCATCTAACCTCTTTGGCAAGTAAACACGATAATTTTGTTTGATTACAAACTGCTGGACAACGAATGTTTTCTCATCGTAGTGAACCAAATTCGACACTTCACCACTTTTGGCCAAGCGAAGCAACTCTTTAACTCTTTTGAGTCTATTTGCTTTCTGTTGCCGTGTAAGTTCTTGGACTTTTTATAAAGAAATCACACTATCACGCTTGAATTCCATCACGAATAACCTCTGGAAAATGCTCACCAAAATGCTTTTGTACGATTGTAAATGGAGTAATTTTAACAGTTGTCGGACGAGTGAGTGGCTTGGAAATGACAGCAGTCTGAAGTTGGTTGCAGTTTTTTCATCTCACCCTGTATGTCACCTAAAGTCATAGCATACAAATGTGTAGCAATACCTTCCCAATATTCTGTATTATGAGGGCTTTTACCACATATATATTCTTATCATTTTCACTAGAATTTTTAGTTCTAAAAGCAAACTAAAACAGATTATATTTATTTTTTTTTTGTTCTGTTCCCTGATAGGGATAATACAACAGGACTATTTTAAAACAGCTGCATTTAAATTTGTCTAAATTAGGCAAAAAAATGTTCGTATAATGAATTTAACATATGCAACTCCACCTACCACGGTATCTTAACAATGACAATCGAATACCGTTTAAAATTGTATTGTCATAATGGAAACAATCGGTGGAAACATACATACACACGTACGTACATATATATCAAGGAACACATACATGTACATATAACAATAGGTTTTTTGCAGTTTGGATCAATTTATTCTAATTAAGTGCAATAAATTCAATTCAAATAAAATGGCGACAGTGTGAGATCGGATTCTATTCAAATGCTTCGCATGAAGAAGAAGATGAATATATGAGTGTATTAAGTGAATTCCTTTCTAATTGAATTCATTACACACACATATACCAAACACAGGAGATGGGTAATCACAACAACAACAGCGGGGACAATACTTGTAATTGTAATTATTATTAATAACGAATTGATTTCTATAATAATATCAAATTGATTGACTTCAATTGTATTGAAATTTATAAAATTCAATATAAGAACTTGACAAGCACACACGTACATACCCATACATATGAAATTGAGAGTGTGTGTGTGTGTGCGTATGTATGCATGGGTATGCCTTCAAGTAGTTATAAATCAGATTGATTGTTTCTTAAGCCTATTGACAAAAATATGCAATTCAAATATAATTTCGACAATCCGATTTGAATGTTAATGAAAACACGATTTTAGTCCCATTAATTGTTGTTGTTGTTGCCATCGTTATTGTCACCATTGAAAATCATTGAGTATGAAAACTCACAGCGAGTTATTGAAATAATCGCTTAGCTGAAACTAAAGAATGACATTTAAAATCATTTTAAGTATATCGAGTCTTCATCAATATTCTTCATAGTAACATAATAATGTTGACTTTTAAAGGAGTCACCAAAGGGTATTTTATTGTCCCCTTCTAAATTTTAGAAGTGAAACAACTACATTTTCCACTTGTAATATAAAAATTTCGAATGTAATTTTCTTCAAAACTATTATACTATTTTTTTTTCTTTTGTTTAAAATTAAGTTTTCATTACTTGCATACATCAACTCGAAAAAAAGCCGAAGAAAAATCCAAGGAAATAGCAAAATTTTTCGCATTTATTTGGCAACATTAAATCAAATATTTTATTGACATATAATGGAAATATATTTCTTTTCCTTATGGTAGAAACGCACGTTATCTTTGGCGTCATCCTTCTTTAATAATGGTTGTAGAAGAATTTTACGTTATTTCGTCTAAAGTACGATTTGCAGAGTGCTTTACTGTTTATAGCAAAATCTTACGACAAATAATTTTTAGGAAAAATAACTCAAAACCCGTTTGGTGATTTGCTTGAAGGTTTGTGATCCTAGTATTGTTATCCCTAATTTTGCTAAAAGCATCATATAACAAAAAAGTAAAAATTCAAAGGAATTTTAATACTAAAATTTCAAAATTAGTATCCCATTTTCCTTTTTAATTTTTAATACTTTTTCTTTTTTATTTGTTTGAAATTCATATAGGTTAAAACGTATCAAGCGGATCTGCCGACAGACTGTGTTGTTTAACCTGCGTTATGATTATTGAAGCTTTTAACCCTTTATTGCGGAATTTCCGAAAGTGTTGGCCAACTTTGTTAAGAGAGATATGTTTATTCAAAATTGTGTTAATAACAAGTAACTTTTCATAATCTCCACCTTTGTGTAAAGAAAACATTTTTATATCAAAGTATCTGAATTGAAACGTATTCCACTTCAAACTTCAAATACCAGTAAGATCGTTTAAATAATGCTGTAAAACTTTTCAAAAAACCAAAAGGTGGATGAGACCGTTGTATAGGGGCCATACAAAAAGAAAAAATATCTACCAAATCTTCTTGAATACCAAATTTAAAAAAAATTATATTTTTTTAAAACAGAAAATCGGTGGGTATCGTTATATGTGCGCTATACGAAAACTTGGACCAAACATACAATGTTTCGCCACCGGTGCTAGAACACATTACGAACTACAAATGACAATTTTTTGACAAATCCGTTGAAAAATGTGGAAAAAAAATCATCAAAAAATCCGACTATCGGGAGGTACCAAAACGTGAACCTATATGTACCATGTTTCACCACCGGAGCTAGAACCCATTATGACCTACAAGTTCCAATATTTGGACAAATCCATGAAAAATGTGCCGAAAATCATATATAAATTATATAATTTTAAATTTTTAGACAAATTTTAAATTTTTAGAAAAATTCGTTTAAAAATGTGGCAACAATCATCAACAACCAAATATCGGGAGGTACCGTTATATTGGGGCCATACGAAAACGTGGACATAGATACTCATTTTTCTGCCACCTGAGTGAGAACCAGTTATGACCAAATACCAATTTTTAGACAAATCCGTGGAAGAAAGTGGCGAAAATCATCAAAATACGGAATATTGGAAGGTACCGTTATGTGGGGGCTATACAAAAACTGGGACCTATAGTACATACAATGTTTCGCTACAGTAACTAGAACCCATAACGAACCACAAATATCAATGTTCTGTCACCGAAGCTGGAACCCATTACAAATGATCCAAAATCATCAAACTATCGAATATCGGGAGGTGCTGCTGTATGGAGACTATAAGAAAATGTGAACTAATGTATCTCATTTTCAATACCAACCACCTTAGATACAATACATATTGTTGTGCCAAATGTTTAAGCCCTATGTCAAATAATATGTGATTTCAACAGACAGTCGGACATCGTTAAAATTGACTTAGAATTTTATGTTGATTACGGATATACACTCTATAGGGTCTAAGACGAATATTTAGGGATGTTACAAATGGAATGACAAAGTTAATATACCTTCCTCTTCAAGGTGGAGGGTATAAAAACATAGGGTTGTGTGAAATCGGACTATCGGAAGGATTTTCATGTTGTTCAGTTTTTATATGCCTTGACGAAGGTGGCTTATCAAGATTTGCAACGTTTGAATAAATATTGGATGATCCTTTTGCAAATTGTTATATTGAAGCTACCGACCTTTATTGGGAGAGGTACCACAACAAGTGAATTGATATTGCCCATTTCCGATCTTAATGTAAGCTAGACAAAAATATTACGTGTACCAAGTTTAGACGACATTAGTTAATATACCCTCCTTTTGATGGTGGAGGGTATTAAAACATTGGAATGTGTGAAATCGGACAGTCGGATCCTATTTCACATTTTATAATAGTTGTAAAAATTCCAATTATTGACCTGGTGATCTAGCATCTATCCCTTCACTCAATACCAAATGTAGTATCATTCAGTACTATGTCCAGGCTGTATGAATATATAAAACGTAGTATCATTTGGTACTTTTCGTGCACCTGTAGTACACAATTCTAAAACGACCTCTTCATTACGGAGGGACCCCAATACAAAATTTTAAAATTTCAGCTTTGTCCGTTCACACTAAACCAAACTGTTCTAAATGTATTATTTAGTACAGTTCCCCCATTTAGTACACATTTTCAAAACCACCTTCATATATCGACATTTTTTTCCAACCTTAATTCTCATACAAAATTTCAAGATTTAAGCTTTATCCGTTCACATAAAACCAAATGGTACCATTTTAGAAGCTTACTAACATTTCCTAAATTTAAAGTTTGATTTCCAAATAACACTTTGGTGCATCTATCCTGCAAATTTCAGAATTCCAGCTCCATCTGTTCATCACAATTCCAGTTTGTACCGAATTAAGTACCATTTAGTGCACATAAGTACGAACCCCAATCCAACACTACCACAGTAATCCCAATTCAAAAAATTAGGATTTCACTCCTATTGGTTCGCCCAAATACAAATTGTACTTTATTTAGTACATATAATTACTATTTTCCAAAATTACCAACATATCTCCTCATATCCTCCGACAGTTGTCTTCTATCCAATTTTCAGGATACAAGTTCTATTGATTCACCCAAATCCAAATTGTACCAAATTTCAGGATTCCAACTCTATTGATTCTCCTAAAATTTAAATAGTACCAAAGTACATAAGTACGAACTTATGCCGTAATCATATTTCTAAATTCAAGAATGCCAACTCTATCGGTTCACCCAAATCGAAATTGTAACAAATTTAGTACATTTAGGGCACATAAATACAACTGTTGAAAACTTCCTTTAAATCCCGATCCTACACCCCGCCAGTAATGTTAATTTTAAATTTCAGCATTCAAGATCCAGCCGTTCCTGCAAATTTAATTTCTACTAAATTTAGTACCTTTTAGTACTTTTCATATATATGAGCACATACTTTCAAAACTACCTCTTCACATTCTTAACCTTGATTCCGATAAAAATTTCAATGTTTTAGCTCTAACGATTCACATGATACGAAATAGTACCAAAGTAGTACATTTTAGTACTTTTCGTGCGATAGTGCGAATTCCCCAAACTCTTTCGGAAAAATTAAGAGTTCCAAATATAAGAGTTCTAGATCTACAGGGTGAGATGAAAAAACTGCAACCAACTTTAGACTGATGTCATTTCAAAGCCACTCGTCCGACAGCTGTTAAAATTATTCCAGCTCATTATATTGTTCACAAGCGTACAAAAGCATTTCGGTGAGACCATTCGAACAAATCTAAACTTATTCTAAAATTGGATGCTATTTCCGAAATTTTTGCTTTCATTCAATAAAATTAAAAAAAATGTTAAAATTATGGCGTTTGACTTTGTTGTAGTTTTTTTATCTCACCCTGTTCTACTTCCTAAAATATAAAGGGTATCTTTTAGGACTTAATAATACTTTTCGTACCATTCTAGTACGAATTTCCAAAAACACTGCCTTATCGGATCCCTTCGGACCAAGAGTGACCCTCACCAAAATTTTCAAGATTCTAGCATCAGCCATTTCGTCTGGGAGTTGATGAATCGTTGAGTCAGTCAGTTACTTTACACTTTTATTAATATAGATTGACTATCCAGAAGAGTCTTTTAGCACTCTCGAATCGTTTTAGGACAAAAATCTATTTTAAGCATATTGCTTTGTTCTATCTAAAATCTACGGACTATTTTAGCTCTTTCCTAGCTCTTTGAATGTTGCATTACGATTTTAGATACTGGAAATTCTGATTGCCTTTTGCTGAAAAAATGTGCCTTTCTGAAGTATTACAACGTCACCGGCGTGGTAGTCTGTTTCAAGAGGTGATTAACATACTCAGAAAATTGTTTACGTTACCATGGTTATTAATTCCCCTCGTTGGGACTGAATTAAGTCCCATGGAGGAGAAACATTTCATTATTTGCTTGTGCTTCCTGTAACGATTTCCTCTCTGCGAGTTATTAGCGTTATAAAAAGGAACTGATTCAAATCTGCGAAATTAATAAATCTTCGACTCTTGCGAACAAATAGGTTAATTAAGCCATAACAACATTACATTTGATATATGTAACTACGTACAGATAAGTATATGTTTGTACAGAAATATATCAAGTAATAAGAACCAAAAACTGTGTAGTATTATTTGACTAATTATTTTTTTATTTTTATTTCTTCATTCAAATGGTTTGGGTAGAGTACTAAAATACGTTTACAGCCTTTCTGTCTGGAATAATTGCTTAATTTGGCCTTCAGTGTTGATTAATTTACCAATCGAAAATGTTATCTTGTTCACATTACAAACAGCTCCACTTTATGTTTTTCTACAGATTTTCTTGTTTTCCATTTCCCCCCAGCATTTAACAAATCTGATTCACAACATTGAAAATGTGAAACGTATGACAACGATACTTCATCTCATACGTGATATGAAGAAGGTGGGCTTGACGTTATGCGAGGCGATGCGCAGCGCTGCGATGTGAATTCTCCCACACCTCCGACCTGGTTCCCCAAATTTGTTAAGTGTAAATACTTTTCAACTTTGTGAAAGGTTTGACAAGATTGTTTTTCTTGTTTTTTTTTTGTATTCCTTTGTTGGGGTGTGTGAGTGCGCCTGGATTTCATTTTATCCATCGAACAAAGAGTCACGTAATCAACGATTCTATTTTAGATAAAAATATATAAAAACAACTTTTTTGCTCAGCTTTTCCTTTTTTTCTTTCCGTCTTTTTTTTCTTCTTTTTCGGTGAAAGACAAGTAGTTATAATAACATGTCACAGGAATGAATGTAAAAAAATGTTTGTGTAAGAAATAATACAACACCACCACCGACGCCGCCAACATGAAAGCCAAACTCACACGCACTCGCCTAAAACTGATAGCTGGAGAAAAAAAAGAACCTAGAAACGTTGGAAAAACGCTGAAACATTAGATGAAGAATAGTAAATAATATATAACTAATACAGCAAAATACGAGGGATTATATCGGTGAATGAAGGAATAAACGTACGCTGGTTGTAAAAAAGATGTTCGTTTCATTGTTGTTGCTGCTGTTTGTGCTGTGCCGCTGTTTTATTTTGCGATTTTTGAGAATGCAATCAAAATTATTTAAGTGGAGTGAGAAAACATTTATAACTCACAATAAAAAAGGAAAACTTACAACATGTAATGGGGGGCATGTGAAAGAATG